CTGTTGTTTCCTTTGCAATTAGTTAATTCACATCATGTAGAAATAGAGTGTCAGATTAAGTGCATAGTATGGCATATTCGCTCAAAGCAAGAATTGTAGAGTCATAACAGCTGACCGTTTCTAGGCAGTGGCACCTAAACAACAAACGAATGGTGTTTTCTACGTAGTCCGTACCGAAATGTTATAAGCAGAATAAGCTAGGTGCTACTCTTAGATAGAGAACCGCTGCTGCTCAGTCGTTTTGAGCTGTTGTTAGAAGCTGGTAGTTGAGGCCGGTGATATTTCGAAAAACCAGAGGAAGGGGAACGCCCGCCGTTGGAAGCCGCTACCAAGCAACGCCAGTGAAGACGTAACTATGGACAGTAGTGTGTGTGTAATAGTGAAATGTAAAATGTAGTCACTTGCTGTATCAAAGATTCTAATAAATCCGGCAATCAACCCAAAACCCGTCTATAGTCACACTCCATACATGTGACAATGTATAGATCTTAATGAAATTATATTTTATGATTTTGTAAGCGTTATTGATTCATTATATGAAGACTGTTTTGGGAAACTGACCATCTGAAGTACATTTAAAGCATACGATGTTATCTGTATTAGCTGTGTTTCCTACTTCAGATGATAGGTTGTCCTTACATGGATAGGTTTTTATTTCACGATTTATGGCGACGGTTAGGATCGAGCGTCGGCCTTGTCACTGCTGGACTGTGACTGCAGAGTAGACCAGTACCATTGTACTGACGTCTCCTGAAAACGGAATCAGAGCCAACTCCGAAGCGTCATGCATATTAAATATACGTGTAGGCTGGTTCAGATAATGAGCATGCTTAACGCAGTGGATCAACCGATGTAGCAAACCTTTTCGTCAAGCTCCATTTCCTTATATGCTATATCGTTTTCACGAAAGTTGAGTCTGTCCTACCAGAACTTTATTTAAGCAGTGGCTGCAGTTAACGGACAGGGACAAAAATGAAATTCTTCCCACAAAACGTACTGCAAAGTACTCAAAACCAAACTTCATTGATATGTGCAGACAGACGAATCGACTTTGTGCGTTCATTTTTTTTTGTATTTACAAAGAAATTACTGAAGGGGATCAGCTGAAAAAAAAATAATATTTTTATTTTCTACAGCCCTTCGGACTCCTTGGAAGGGGAATCAGCCCGTTGCAAGGCAGCTACCTAGGTACAGAACAACAAAAACACAGAATAAACGCACACAGACATCAATGCATTGAGTGGGATTCGAACCCACGATCACAACGTTCGAGCGACGGACAGTTCATGCTTTAGACCGCGCGGCCAATGTGATCGGCACATAAACCATAGCACGTGTGAAAGACAAATGGTTGATAAGTCTGTAGTTTTTCGTTTAGTTTCTTGGGGTGGTGTGAGGCTGAATCCACTTGGTACGTCGGCCACTAATTGGGGTATTGTACCAGCCCTGGATGATAGATGATGAGTGTGGAACAATCAATGGAATGAGGATTGGCAGGGAAAACTGAAGTACACGGGGAAAACCTGCCCCAGTGCCACTTTGTCCATCACAAGTCCCACATGACCTGACCTGGGCTCGAATCCTTGCCGCTGCTGTGGGAAGCCGGCGGCTTCAGGTAGGCGGGAATAGGAGAAGATAATCGGCAGTTGAATATATTCTGAGTCTGTATTGCTGTGTCCAAATTTACCGAAAGAAGTCTGTAGCATACCCTACATAGTAGCGTCGCCTAAGGTTTCGTAACTTCGTGTAAGGTATTGTCTCTGCAGCATTCAAGTTCATAGCGAGCTTATTAAGGAATTCGTGACTTCGAAACGTCTCTCAGGCGGGTGTAACGGTGTTACAGTGAGATAGGTGCTGTGTGATTACGATAACCACAACGGGCTTTATCCTAGTCCTAACATTGGCCTGGCCGCCAGGTCTGTCCCTTCCTGAACCTGCTTTTCATTCACATGCACATAGCAGAGTTTACACTCTGCTTGCTAAGGCAGACAATCTTACAATAAGATAAACAAGAAAGCACTGTGGAACCGCTATACAAGTTTATGTGCCTGTTAGTTTCGAGTCACTATCTACCCTGAGGCCCATTCGGTCTGAAAGGGAAATACTTGCACCTGATGTCTGCACTGCGTATTGTAAATGTGAAGAGGTCAAAAGGTGTCATATCCAAGCTAACTCAGCGCTGGTTTTCGCACTGTCTGGACACCTGTCATTATTACGTATTGTCGTGAGATGAACAGCCTACAAGCCTCCTGCTAATGTGTTTGCTTATTTATTGTGGTGTAGTAGATTTTACTCTTCTTCTGATGTCATCGTACGAGACACAGATATACGTCGTGATTCTGACTGTAAAATTTGATACAATCCTTATGGAATACTTAATTTAAAAAGTGTATATTAATATCAAGGCAATTTCTTGACTTGTTTCCTGCACAGATCTGCAACGGACTTGATATATACTCAATCCACAACATACAACAATACCCAATCNTATTTAGTTTTACGTATCCGCGGTTTTCTTATGTACACACACATACAAACACAGCCGCGTGCGCGCGCGAAGTGTTCTAAAACACTGCACGTAGTTTTTCATATGCAATTGACCTTGACTACGTCATCATGGAAATAAAATCAATTGTTGGTCCGTGGGTCATTGTTTTTTGCTGATGCAAGCTAGAATATGTATGTGTTGGGTACACATCTGGGTCCCTACCGCTATTTTCCTGAATTATTACTTACGAAATTCCATTTAGGGCGATGATATATATGAATTATAGAAGTTAATCAAAATCGTTAGAGCAGTTTTTGAAAAAATCGCCATTTTGTTTCTTGATCCATCTAGAGAGCTCTTATAAGTAGAACTAGAATATTCTTATTCATTCGATTCTGACCTACGTGTTTGTTCGATAAATTTTATACGATTAAAATCCCTCTAATCGTTAATTTGCAGGCGAGAGGCATATACATCGTAGTACAGACATACAAACAGACGGAATTCCAAATTCTACTTCTGCTTATTCATGGGGCTGAGAACGTTCAAATTCTATATATTCCATATGTGAGAAAGTGATATGGATGGCGCAGGACAAGTTAAGCACAGCCGTCGTCGTTGTCACCATTGCCATGTCTATCATCATGGATTTCAAGTCTCAGCAATCCATTATCTCAAAGTTAAGTTTCAAATCGGGCGATTTCATTGTTTCAAGTAGTGCATTATCCTCACGTGTATCCTTCCTAAACTTTTACTGGGTATGTGTGTTCTGTCTGCTCAGTCAAGAATTCGTATTATAATTTTGGTGCTGACTCCGAACTAACTTCGGACAGAAAGAGAGAATATCCCGATAATATAATCATTTTATGCATTCTGTGAAAACCCGTATAACAAAATATAAGTATCTCTGTCTCCCATTTATCTCGCTAAGAGTGGAATGACGTATTCTTCGTCAGCTCCTATGGCACACTGAGCTACAAGTATTAAAATTCTTCTTCATGAAAAATATTAGCAAGCCTTTCTTTTAATGGCTTTTGCTTGATAACTGCACATGTACAGGACAACATCGTTATAACATTCGTAAACCAATCAGAATTCCTGAAAACGGCAGTTTTAGTGTCTGCTCATTACGTTCAGTTGGTTACACAGTCATGTTTGCATTAAGCATATTCTTGTAACGGACAGGAAATGTAACCAGGATTGTTGACTGATTAACTAACTAACTGATTGACTGACCAACTAACTAAATTGTTAACTGAGTAACTCGATGGAGCAGATTACTTCTTGAGAAGATGACAGTCGTTCAGCTAGTCTCGATCCGCTCTCTCTACAAACCGAAAATTCATTACCGTATTCACAAGAGACCTCCAGTGGTCCCTGCCAGGACCTGATATCTTAACATAAATGGAAAGATTTTTCATTTATTCCCAATGACTTTATTAGAGATATTATGAATTTTATTTTCCTAATGTCGAAGCGACAGAATCTAAAGACAAAGAAGTGAAGTATAGAGAGCAGTTACGTTATTCGCGTTCGTGGTATTATTAACAACTTCATTTATTAGGTTCGAATACTTTCTGGCATTTGTGGAGGGAACCCTGGAAATTCACACTCTCAAATGCTGTCCTGTCTCTGGCTAAACAGCGTAGTTTTCCTTCGCGAAACTTCCGAGTGAGAAGGCAAAGCGACAAAGAGCCCGACTACAGGCGAGAAAGGAAGATGCGCTGGGAAAAGGCCTTACCGCGAACTGGGCAGTTGCAGAGCTCAATCAGCCTCCTCTCCTCTGTTACGCGGGACATTTCCCGGCTACAGAACTGGCCTGACGGTGCATATTCCTTCGGTGTTTACACACTTTTAATATTTACAGCTGTCATGACATTATCATCATTGACACAACGATCCGAAATAAAGAATTACTCATTTGCAGCCTGTTCAACTGAAGATTATCACAAAAAGCAGTTCCTACAGCACAGATAACACACTACGTATCCGTTACAAAGACCAAGCGGTTAATATTGTTTAAGAAACTTGTTGCTGTTTTTCTAAGAATCATAGGAAACGCATAAATACACTCTATTGACAAAATGTAAAGCTTCTTATTAATATTAACGAAGGTGGTACGTATATTGGCAGAATGACCGATAAGATGGGCTCCAATGTGGTTCCGTGATACACAAGTAAATGGTCATATTGTTGTCGTGTCAGCAGAGAGTGTTTGCCACAGCACAACTGTACAATGATTCCCTTATTTACATGAGCATCTCCTTTTAAATCGAGAATTTATTTGTTTCTCTCCGTACCTCAAGACTGGTATAGTGTTGAGTTCCATCGAGAAATTCTCATGAAATATAATAACACATGAGAACAATAACTCACTACTTATTTTACTGTCGTTTAATACGAAACAGTAGAGACAATACGGAGGCCCTGATTTTTGTCTTAGTAATGCCTGAAAGCGTAAACAGAAATAAGCAACTGGGAACTGAAGTGAAATATGCACGGTTTCACTGACCTGTGTCAGACAGTCCATGGCGATAAGCGAGGTGGTCATCAACTGCACACACTCACTCCCAGAGATTGTCCCTGCTAATGCTAAGCGTCCATCTTTTAACAGCCCCCCTCCACTGTTTACTGCATCTTCGTTACCTGTTCAGTCGTGGGGGAAATAAGCAATTCTCATTGAACAATATGTTACGATACACCAGAGGTCGCCATTCAATTACGAGACGTTGGCATGTAGAAGCGTAACTCACCAAAATCGTCCCTAACCTTTAAAGATCAGGAAGAGTGGAAGAGTACCATTGGTACTCATATCTCTTAGAGGCTGAGACGACCCCAGGGCCATAGTGCGGCCGGAAGGATTAGGTCAATTGAAAAAAAACCAATGATCTCATCAGGACTTGAACCAGCGACCTTCCGACTTGTGGCATAGTGCCTCAACCAACAACGCTACAACAGAAATGAGTACCAGGAATTAATTAAATAATTTTCCTGGCGAGTAAAGCGCGGTCGGCGCTGACAACCTTAACGCCATCTTTGAGCCGATTGTCTAGATCAGTGTTCCACAACCTTTTTGTACTCGCGGCACACCATGAAGTATCCATGACTCAACACGGCACACCAAAATGTTATTCCCCTCAAAAACACATGATATCAGACAATTAATATAAATACGTAACGTGATCAACTTATTACTATAATATTATTATACTGTTATTTTATTATCAGTAAACAGAAATCTACTCGTGCATTATTAACAATTAATGAACTTTAATTAACTGTAGAGTGTAGAAAATACACTTCTATTAATATTAAAGTAAATACATTAATTCTACTCATACCTTCAATGAGATACTTGCGCCTGCGTAGCTGCACACAGGCGACTGATCCGTGGTGGAATCGTTGACAACGCAAGTCTCATTTCTTCATCGATGGATTTCATCGATTTCTTCATTGATGTCTTAATTTCAGATAACGTCGAGAAGCCCAGTTCACACAAATATGTAGTTGAAAATGGCAATAACACATTAACTGCCATCTCGGAGATAGCCGGGTATCCACTCCTTATTGCCAACCAAAACGTATCCAAAGGCACTTCGAGAAGTTTTAGTTTGAATGTTCTGTCTGCTTTTAAATTTGCGAGATCCTCTTGTATATTAACCGGAAGATGTTCTGATTTCACAACAAATGGATCACGAACCCAGTCGAAATCTTGTACACTCTCTCCAAAATATTTATTGAATTTCTGCTGCAGCATTTCTAAATGTTCTTTAATTGTGTCCATCACCACTTTATTGCCGTCAGAAAGTGGCCATACAGTCGGGGACATCTCAAACGACCCATCTCTAATTCTCTAACTAGCAACCAAAATTTGCGAACTACTTCAGAACACAGCTGTGATAGAACTGAAACAATTGTAAAACGCGGGATCTCTACTCTTCAAACGGAAGAAGTGACACTATATCGACTTATTTTTTAAATATTTATAATTTTAAATGAGATCCAGCAATCGGTGGGTGCATCGTTACAGGAAGAAAGTCATAAATTTGAAGAAGCTCTAAATTCTAACAAACAGGGGCAAATAACAAAACAGCGTTATAAAAGACAGGAAACCCCATGCTACTCCCTGCAGTTTTAGGGAAAAGCACGTACACAGAATATGCGGAAAGCATATCAAAGAAGTTGCGTAGATACGAGAAAAATAAAAATAAATCAATAATGGAAACTATGATATAAAAACAACTGTGAGCAAATAATTTACGTTTAATTTCTTAAAATACAACATTACTGTACATAAAAAATCACAGCATGTAATAAAGAATAAACAAGCATCATCTTGTTTAATCAATGCAGTGGCTGAGAGTAAAATACAAGCATATGAAACACTGTAACTGGGATAAAATAAAACGAATAAAATTCGACAATTAATTTATTACAATTGGTAAAAGTTCGCGTCACACCGGTTGAGGAACACTGGTCTAGATAGTGTGGGACCCTCCACGTCTCACAACCCTATGGGACTTCAAAGCCTCTTACAGGGATAGCTTTACTTACTTTTTTTAATATTTCGTAAGACCAGGTAGTGCATTGTACACATTGTTTTCACCAGTTACAATAGATCACCTATTTGAAATGTGAAGGATTAAACATGAACACGTCTCAACCTGAATAACAGTCTACGAACCGAAAATTCAACTCTCCTTCTCTCTAATGAAAAATATGTCGATTTCTATTAATTCGAAAATAGCGTAACATTTGTTTTGCCAGTAAACGCAATTATCCTGCTTTTAGCCCAAGGCCCCAAAAGTTTCTAACAGTGAATGAAAGTTCATCTTAAACCATTCCGTGCTCTAAGACAGTTTCGTGAATTTTCCTTCCTAACACGGCGGCCGATCAATGTGAGAAACCCACCAAAGCCACCGTAAATATGAAAACGACTCGAGCAGCGTTCACTAATTCATTATTTCACATTTAAGGTACTCACAGCGGTGACCACGAGGAGTGCGATCTTCTGGGTTATAATGTGTAGTTCGTGAAGTTTACCGACGTTGCGGAGGAACATATCGCCTCCATTTTCAGATCCAAGGAAAGTCCAGAAAGAAGCCAGTGACAAGCAGGGCTTCTTAGCCGGCTTACACCCTGGTCATGAAGATGGAGTCGATACGATTCTCCTAACCGTCGGAGGATTACTACCAAACTATTCGGCGTTACAACCCAGTAGTAGTAGTCCCGAATCCAGAATTCCAAGTTCATAAATTATGTGTGTCTATTCAAATATTCTTGCCAATGTGAAATTCAAAATATGACGGCCGCATAGATTTCACGGGAGGACACCAATAATTCCGAACAACATCGAGAAAACGAATTTTGGAAACAGTAGACAAAAGTAAGATAAAGCTACCCCTCTAGCAGACCGTGGAGGTTCCCACATTTTCTAGACAATCGACTCGCATATGAGGATGAAGTTGTCAGCCTTACGCGCTGGGTGCACTGCATAGTGAAAAATTTAGTTCAAACAACCTTAAAAATATGCATTTATGTCATGTAATTATATTTACATACTTTATACACAAATATTTTCAGCAATACCAGAAAAAGATATATGTCAAAATACCTCGAAAGTACAAACAAGTAATAATTCACTTTAAGGACACCACCAGCATTTAGTACAACATGGGACTAAACAAGTAGCCTAGCATACAAAATGTAGTAGACTATGATCACCTGCAGTCTGTTGGTTGTTCTGGGGGATCTATTAGCAGCAATTATGGTGTGGTTAAGTATATAAACGACTGTTACAAACATACAACCATACAAGCAGGTAGTTTCAATTTTGAAATCCCCCACCCCTACCCGAAAGCTCTGTGGTGTCGTTATGGGGGTTCTTTTTTCAGAGCAGTGACCCCCAAAACTTTCAATATTTTCCACTTTATTAAGCTAAAGTTAAAAAATATATCACAAGATATGAAATCATAATTGTGAATGAAATAATCTGCATTTTCAATGTTCTTGCTTTTAATGATAAAGGCACAAAAACAAAATTACAGCATTTGGACTTATGTTTGGAACTAGATGTAAACATTGAGGAAAAGAATCGATATTTATAATATAATGACCGTTTTGATACATCTATGTGAATACAAACCTAGGTACCAAGAGAATAATATTACATAGATCAGAAATTAAATTCTGAGGGCAGTAGTTGGATTCACAGTGTGCTTGATAAAATAAATTAGAGCCAAACCACAAATTAGAAGTTAATCACCTTAGGAAACCTTACCTTGTTCAAATGAATTCTGGCATGCCATGTGGAAGTAAATATCCTCTAAGCCATTATTTTTCAACTGGTGGAATTTGATGGTTGGCTTGGCGAACAAGAGATATCAAAAATATATTCAGCCACACAAAATTAACTATACAAAAAAAACACATCCTACATGTAATTAATCCTGCACCATAATCATACTTTTGCTTACAGAAATAAAGTCGAAGTTTTTTTTTGTCTTCGGTGATATGTATACTCTTCAGCCCTTTTCA